ACTTTGATTAGAGTTGTTTATTTGAATAGAGATTAAAAATGCAATTGTTACCTATTATTGTGGGTTACTTTATGCAATGACTTGGATTTGTAGTTTTGACAACCTGAGGTTGGCTGTATATTGCTTCTGCAGACTCTCTTACATAAAAGTAAGTAATCAAGAGACACCAATTTAGGACTTACAATACTACATCCATGCATACTTTCCAATTCAATAAATGTAAGGATGATATATTTTATGATAACTCCATGTATATTTTGTCCAGTTCTTTCTCTCCTTCCCAAAGAGTCTCTGCCAGTATTTGTGGCACTTGACAAAATAAGTAGTTAAATAAAGGTTTAGGCAAGTGACTCATAAATACACACATGAATAGAAGTTATTCATCTTTAGTTAGATACCTGTTCATTTATTCACATAAGATATTTCTTATGTACCTGTGTTTCATTAATTCAATAATCTCAAAGTGGGGTTCAACAATAAAACATAGTAAATAAATATGTAATGGACAAAAGGTATAATCAGACAGGGAAGAACAATTACAAAATGCCCCAAAGAATTTCAGACAAAAGCCTGGGATAAACAAATAGGTCTTTGGCTGGCACTGAATGCTTGTAAGGCTCTCTGTATATTGAAAGGCAGGGAGGGTTGTATCCAATGTTTGTCAAGTTTAAGCCCCATTCATTCCATGGGTCTACTCTAAAGAGGCCTAAGATTGGATACACATGACATACACCAACCAAAAGGCCTTCTCCCTTACTACTGAGTCTTTAACTGATTCCTTAGCTGTCAGCTCCTTATGTGTCAACTGGCCTTTCCCAACTGCTGTCTTCCACCTAGCTAAAATCAGAATTGGATGTTTTCCAGACAAATTTACTGTACCCAGGCCCTGTTCAGAACTATTGAATGTGATAGTCTCACTCTCCAAAGCAGCTATACTGACAAAAACCTTTGACACACTAACAGCGCCAGTATCCAAGGCCTGCACCAGATACATTGCAGCCTCATAGAGCGCACACAAACAATCCAAACAGTACAGAATAATCATAATTTACATGGCATTTCGTTGCACAAGGGCACATCAATCTGATCCATAACTATTAATAATGGTTTCCTCAATCTACAGGCCATATATCCCGAATTTTCATCTACTGAGTGTTTAACCTGCATTCTTTCTCCTTGTACTTCCTTTGCACTTCTGCTTAATGTCTGAATTTGTTCACATAGGTGTATGGCCTGAAGCAGCATCACAAGAGGCAAAATCAGATCCAAATGGAAGATTTTGCAGTTAGAATGCTAATGCCCATCAGACAAACCAACTGGACTCTTTCCAGGACAAAGATCATAATTACTTAGCTTTATGGGTGGAGTGTAGTTGCAGACACATCAAATGTACAATAAGATGCAGGCTATACCTGTGCTGCAGACTTACCAGATTTGTATCTGTTTTGGGTGGCAAGGGTTTCCGCAAAGAAACCTGGGAATTGTGCCAGGACTGAGCTGTTGGCCTAGCCTCCCGCACAAAGCTCTTGCTCCCAAAATTTGCTGGCCGGAAAGAAGGGCTCTTAAACCATTTTAGGTCTGTTACATAGATACACCCCAATATAGGTTTTCCTAAAGCATGGATACCTTTTAGCTGTGCCGTCCTCCCTTCAACACACATCAAGCCAATTTAACTAGCAGATCATGTCTGTATAAATGTATTATCTGCTTTTCATTATACAAAAATGCTGAAGAGGGGTTCAGTGTCTACCCTATACAATAAAATCATACCCTCAAATAATCAATCACTAATACAACAAGGGACACCACAAACACAGCAATTCACAATGCACAGCAAAATAGATTCAGTCAAATGCTTGGGAAAGGCTTGCAGGGCGCACTGACACCTTGTGAGTCTCAGCACCAACTTTATGTGAAGGAAAAGGGAAATCCACAGTTGGCATCCCCAAGTTACTGCATGTAAAATCCCAGGCTCCTGTGGCACTGCTGAAAGGGCACCCCCCCCCCACCCAGCACCCACTACATAGAATATAGAGGGAAGCAGGCATCCATCAGGTGAGCATCAGCTGAATCTTGCTTCAACGCTGGCAGTCGGTTAGCACCCATCACCACCCCTAAATCCAGTGAGCCAGCTTAGAGGAAAGGGCGAGAGGCACAGTACACAAGGAGCTCTCTGCTCTTTCCCTCATCAACCACTTCCTGAGCTGGCTGCCTCATTCAGCCTGCTAGTAGGGCTTCTTCCCTACTCTGAAAAGAGAGGGGTGTCCATCTATCTAGCTCAGGGGTGGACAACTTGTAGGCCAAAACCTCTGGAGGGCCACAGCTCCAGTGCTTCCTCTGCACTGGCTATGCTTGCTCGAGCTGATGGGAGTTGTCATCTGGAGGGCCACAAGTTGCCCACCCTGAACCTTTTGTCACTTTTACTCTCTCAGTCACATCTGCCTGTCACAGCTGCTACCCTCTGTTCATCCCCATGCGTCTGCCTCTCTCTTCGTCACAGGTTGCTACACAACACTCTGCAAGGATGCTCTTCACAACTCAGCCCATGGAGGCCATAAACAAGGCTGGCCACGACAGAGCAGCCAGTGGAAACCTCTCTGGCCTCCCAGTGCCTTTCCAGGGCATATAACGACCAGTTATAAAGGTAATCAATACAGCTCTAACCAACATGGCAATGCAATGATAGGAAAGCCACACCTGTTCCTCCTTTGTCATGCACCTGAATTTCTTCAAGCATAGGAGCCCGGCAAGAACAAAACTCTTGTGGTGCCTCCCCACTTTACTGTCACTGTGGTGCTTTCTGAATTTGTTCCACAACAGATGGTGTTCCGCAAAAGCAGTGGTTGCATCTGCTGCCTCTCTTCCCTCATGAGCTTTGGCAGATCAGGAGCCACCATGTCACTGGTGAGATCTTGGATATTTTAATGTGGGGATATGGCATGTTCTAACACAACATCACATGGCCGCTGAGGATCTGCCTCTTACCCATCGTCTTGCCCCTGCAGCACTAGAAAGGGGATTGCCTGGCTGCTCGACTTATTAGCAGACTGAAAACAAAGATGAAGGCTTTCTCACCCTAGAGGGATTTAAAGGAGTTTCTGAAGCTCTTGGGTATAAGATCAAGGTGCTTTGGAACAGTCAGCAGGGGGTAGGGTGCAAGGGAACATGGCTGCTTAGTATAATTAGGCAAAACAGCAGGCACCTAAAGCCTGACAAGGGCAGCCTGTTACTCTTATCGGCCACCTCAGGGGTTGCCATCTATCCTCAGGTGCTCGCCCGTGTCCTAATCCCTCAGGCACCAGAACCAAGGACTTCTTGCACGCTAAAGCGGAGCTTCTCCTCTGAGCTGCAGTGCCTGAAGAGGCCCTTTGGGACTGTAGCTCCTTCCAGGCACTGATGAGGAGGAAGGGGCAGGTCATGGGCTTGCCTCTGGGAGACCACAAGGGCCATTAGTAGTCTTCTGTGGTTTTCTGGCTAGCCAGTATTGCTCTGTGGCATAAGAGTCCAGATTCCTGGTGCTGCTGTACCTTGTAGAGACCACATGTATATCAAAACGGGGAGGCACTTTAGCCCAATAATGAATTTTAATGATGCATCCCAAATACATCATGCATATTTATCTGGAAAGGGTTCACAGAAGGACAAGGATGATCTGGGGACTGGAACAAAGTCCTGTAAGGAGAGATTGAAAGAATTGGGCATGTTTAACTTAGGAGAGGAGAGGAGATTGCCGGGACATATTATAGCAAAGCTTGAAAGGTAGTCACAAAGAGGAAGGACAGGATCTCTTTTGGATCATCCCAGAGTACAGGACATGAAATAACAGGCTCAAGTTATAGGAAGCCAGATTCCTACTGAACACCAGAAAAAAAAACTTCCTGACTTTTAGCGCAATATGACAATGGAGTCAATGACCTAGAGAGGGCATGGGCTGCTCCACACTGGAGGCAGCTAGACAGCCATCTTCTGGGGAGGCTTTATCTTGGGAGTCCTGCAGTGAGCAAGGGGCTGGACTTGGTGGCTTGATTGGCCACTTCCAACTGTACTATTCTATGAGTCTATGAAATTCTTACAACAGTCCTGCAGGGTAGCCCAGATGATTATTCCCTAATGCAGATACAGGCTAAGAGAGAGACTATACTGCTAGCTCAAATTTACCAAGTGAGCAGGTGCCGGGCAGGGGGTGGGGGGGAATAGCACAGGGAGAAAGGTTACCTTTCTTCTTCTTTCCAATTGTATATGCAAATGTAAATAGAAAATTTTACAACTGGATCTGCAGTGCATCACCTCAAAAAAGTGGAATCAGCAGCACAGGAGGTGGATTCAAAATGAAGGATGCATAGATACCTTTCTGCCCTCAAATAAACAAAAATCCAGCTTGCCTTATTTTACCCAGAAAAAAAGAAAGGATTGGAGCTTGGGAACAGTACTGTAATAGATAGAGCTCTTATGGCTTAGAAAGGGTATAAAGACCTTAGGGGCAGTTCTTAATCTAGAGCAGCCCTCCCCAACCTGGTGTTCTCCAAATGTGCTGGACTACAATTTCCAGTCTCCCGCAGATGTTGGGAATTGTAATCCGACACATCTGGAGAGCACCAGGTTGGGGGAGGCTGATGCAGCACGCCTTTGTTTCGAGGGGATATGACTTGGCTTCCAGGCACGCTTAAAGCTCCGTTTTAGACGTTGCACCATGCCTACGTGACGGCTGCTTTTCAATACTGGGGCTGAATTCTACAATATATGAAAAGGCGTTCTTTTGACCGCCTACTGCATCAGATCCGATCTTTGTAGCGCTCAACACGCCCTGCGTCTTGCAAACAAGCCGCTCCTGCCCTCACCTTGGCAGGAGAATCGCCTCATTCCTTTCCTACTAGCCAGACTCAGAAGGGCAGGGGCAGGGCAGGAAGGGCAAGGACGCCTGCTTCAGCCCTGCTACTGCGCACGCGCAACAGCTCTTCCGTTTCCCTTCCCGGAGGCGGGCGGGCGCCGCAAGCGTCGGACAGCGTCAGTCATTGGCTCCTTTCCGGGAGGGCTTCGCTTTCGGTCACTTCGTGGGAGTCCCAGGTACTCTTTCCGCGAAGTCCCCTCCCGCTCTCGGGTGTAGCAAGGCCATCCCGAGCCCCTCTCCGTCCCCCCGCGCCGCAGGCTGCGCTGGCCGATTGCGCGCACACGCAGCCCCCCTCCTCCATTCAGAGCTAAGCGCGCCTCAGAGGGGCCGAAACATCTTGCTCCCATCGCCCAAGATCCGTCCCCTGACGGGGCGAAGGAGGCATTTCTCTCTCCGTGTCCATTAAGTCGACGATTTCTCCACTTTTACGGGCAAGCTGGATTCCTCCCATCCCGTTTCATACAACACTTCTCCTTACCTGCCTCCGCCCTTCGCAGCACACGCAACGTGTGCTGGTAGTACTCCTTAGCTGATGGGTGTGTACTTAGAGAAAAAATCACAATAGGGCTGGTTTCAGATCCCCCCGGAATTTATTTTTGGGGTCTTTTCCTCCTATCAGCCTAGTTCAAGCCCTGCTAGTGAAGGTCGAGCCACCCAGTGTAAAGTATAAGAGACAGGTTTCCTTCCATCAGTGCAATCGGATTCCTAAATTCAGACCTTTGCTTTTTCCCACAGAAGTGAACGGCGGCCATGCACATTCTGGAAAAAGGAAAGGGATGTGTGGGTCTGGGCCTTTTTGGTGAGAATACCATCTGTTCACTCATCTGAGTGGCCCAGAAATGGTTTCTGTTGATCATTCTGAAATGTGACAGTGTTGGAGAAATGCCATTCCTGTCTTAGTTCTCAAGACTAAATCTTCATAGCTTCAACAGTTGACTCGCATCATGTTTCTTCAGACCACCATTAGATTTCTAGGATGCTTTTCCCCTCCTCTTTAACACCAACCTGCCAAAACTCCCAAAGCTGCTTACAAAATAAAAATGAGGCAAAGAAGTTTTGTTTTCTTAAGCAGATTTGCATTTCAGTGAGCTCCTTACAACAACATTGTGAGGTAAGTTGGGCTGAGAAAGGCCAGAGGACCTGAAGTAGCTTCATGACTCAAAGACCCCTTTAAAAACTTCCATACCGCTTTTAAACATTGATCAGCAGGGGGCAAGACATCCTTGCCCAACAAAAATTAGTATGAATTGATAATCCAGCATCTTAGGAGATACAGATTTCCTTGCATGCCAAATAGGCGTACTTGTTTTGGAATTTCTGCAATTAGCTTCAGTTCCATAAAGCAATTTCTGTTATTTGTGCAAGATCACGCACAGCAGATGCCTGGCCCTTCAAAAGGAGCTTGACCTGGATCAGGTGATGGTTCTACCTAGTCAGTCCCTCTCCATCACCCAGTGCACCTGCCTTAGCACAGAACCACTGGATATTCACCCATTGGTGAAGTGTTTCAGTAGGACATACATGCAGTAATCCAACATGTGTGGACCTGGATAAGTGCCCACGGGGGAAAAAAGAACTGTGCAGTCTAGATCCAAGGGACACTAGATTTTACACACCCAATATGTATAGGCATAGGCTATGCACACTGGAAGCCAGTGTGGTGTAGTGGTTAGGGTGCTGGACCCGAGATATCCAGCTTCTAGTCACCACTCAATCATGAAGCTTGCTAGGTGACCTGGCTGTCAGCCTGACCTACCTCACAGGAGTGTTGTGAAGATAAAATGGGGAGAAAGTAGATCATTGTGTCTTGGGTTCCTCAAAAGAGAAAAAAGTGAAGTATAAATTGTTATTATTAACATTTCTATATCGTTCATAGCCAAAGCTCTCTGGGTGATTTACAACAGTTATAGAATATCCAAAATACTTCTCTATTAACCAACTTTGTAATGTAATGCTATTCAAATTATGTACCCATGTAGATGTCCCATGATTTCAAATGTACAATTATTCTTTTAATTAGATCCTTTATCATAATTATAATGTATTAATGATACCATTTGTCCTTGGCTGCATTTAATTGTATTTGTTTTTTGAACAGGGGTACCTAAGCAGAGTTCCTCTTCAGATTCTCTCTCTGTCTTTCTCTCTCATAAGAAGTTACGCATGTGGAAAGAAAGCTTAAAGGTGGACTTCAGCTTCCTACTGAGAAACTGGCATAATCAAAGGATGGCTTGAGTCTGAACGAACACTGGGATCTATTTCTCATTTTAATCCCTCAAAGAGAACTAAATATGGCATCCCATCAGGCATCAGGGAAACAAATTCTTACAAGATTTCTTAGGAAAGATATTTTATTCAGTATTGCTATCATAATCAGGCTTGTGCTTGTCTTTTATGGAGTTTATCAGGACAAAACAATGTTGGTGAAATATACAGATATTGATTATCAGGTATTCACAGATGCTGCTAAATACATCACAGAAGGCAAATCTCCGTACGCACGAGCCACTTACCGTTACACCCCACTCCTAGGCTGGATCTTAACACCAAACATCTACCTTTCTGAATTGTATGGAAAGATCCTCTTTGTGGCCGGGGACTTGGTGGCTGCCTATCTCATGTACCGCATTCTGCTTCTCAGAGGACTGGATAGTGAGAAAGCATGCGGGTGCTGTGCATTCTGGCTTCTGAATCCCTTGCCAATGACGGTGTCAAGCCGAGGAAATGCAGAATCTCTTGTAGCAGGCCTTGTCCTTGGCACCATGTTTTTCATGGAAAAGAGGAATTTAGTGAAGGCAGCTGTTCTCTATGGCCTCTCTGTACATATGAAAATTTATCCTGTGACCTATGCATTGCCATTAGCTCTTCATCTGCAAAGTAACAGAAACCCCAAGCCAGGAAAGACGTTTCCCTTAAAGAAGCAAAAGTTCAGTTATGTGGGTGACCTCTTCCAGCTTTTCTTAAGGCTGTTCAATCGTGATGTTCTGCTTTTTGGGATGCTATCTGGTTGCACCTTTGCTGCTCTGGGTCTTATCTTTTATTTCCATTATGGATGGGAATTTTGGGAGCATACGTACCTCTACCACTTGACCAGGAGGGACATCCGCCACAACTTCTCACCCTATTTCTACATGCTCTACTTGACTGCAGAAAGTGAGTGGAATTTTGTCCTTGGACTTGCTGCTTTCCTACCTCAGCTCCTGCTGCTGCTTGCCATTTCCTTAGCTTATCACAGAGATCTGGTCTTCTGTTGCTTTCTGCAAACTGCTGTTTTTGTGAGTTTTAACAAAGTGTGCACATCTCAGTATTTTCTGTGGTACCTTTGCCTCCTTCCACCGGCAATGCCTCATTTGCAGATGTCGTGGCGCCGGGCAGCTCTGCTTCTCCTGCTGTGGCTCAGTGGCCAAGGCCTGTGGCTGGCCCCTGCGTACTTCCTGGAGTTTCAAGGCCAGAACACTTTCTTGCTCATCTGGCTGGCAGGCCTGGTCTTCCTTTTTATCAACTCTGTGATTCTTGTCCAGATGATTTCTCACTATGTCCCTATACATAGGACTGAAAAATTAAAGCAGCAGTAAGACTTGCTTTGCTACAAAGGCAAAGTCCTATAGGCAGTTCCTAGCGTTATCCATTGAACAAAACTGCACAATAAGTTGTTGTTTTTTAAGGGGGTATTTTGTATAATTTTTGCAATATTGTTTTGGAGGCCTAACCTTTTAATGTATTGAGTGTGGAGAGGAGCAGTTGTTATCACTGTTTACCTTAAACATGTCAACTGTGCATTTGTTAATTTGTATGGATTTTCATTTACTGTAGTGAACTGTATTGTTTGGACATTTAGTGCCATACTTCAGAGAAAACCATGTTCAAGGTTATCGGCAAGCCTGCACACCCACCGTGTCTGGCAGCGCTCAGATCTCTTCCCCTGAGCTTTCCATTAATTGCCCAGAGCCCAGAGGAGGGCCTGCTTCATGCTTTGGCCCGCTGCCATCTCACCCCCTGCAAATCCCCTGGCGTGCAGGAAGGGCTCAGGAGGGGCATGAGGCATGCTTTCATTGCATGAGATTTGGGGCATGCAGACGTAATACAGAAGACTCTCTGCTTCTGCCTGTTCCAAAGCCCAGTGTGACTTGAGGGGACAATTCTGGTTCCCAAGTCTTCCCACGCATGCAGAAATCTTGGGAAAATGGAGTGGTTGGGGCCAAGCACAAGTAATGAGTGAACAAAGCCAGCATTTGCATGCTCTTGCTGTTGGCTGTGATAGCTGTCTCTTTCTTAACTGAAGAAAGAATTGCTGTAGTGTATTTAACCACAATTCAGGTTCCATTACAAAAATAGCAAAGTCTTTTGCTGTTGTATGTGATATAGCTGCTAAAGCAGGGATGCAGTGAATCAGAACAAAGTAATCCCCTCTGCTCCCTGAAGTGTGGTGTCTTACTCCTCAGAAACGAGGTGGACAACTTTTGGCCTTCCAGGCATTATGACTTACAACTCCCATGATCCTTTAGCATTGGCTCTAGCTGCTTAGAATTGCTTAAACCAGATGTTTTAGCCTGCATGTTGCCTAGCCCAGCCTTACAGGCCTACAGGGGAAGATGCCATTTTGGGGAGGACTGAAGTCTCCATAAATGTGACTAAAAGTGTGTAGTTATAACATGCAGTAGCCATTTTGTGATGGTTAATATGGGAGCCTGATTCAATCCCAGCTGGCTGGGCAAAGAGAGCTGGGCTGGGAACACGTTCTCAGTGAGTAGATGTTTGTGCAATAGAGTGAAGAGATGAATTCCCCTAAACCTCTGATGTCCCCTCAAGGTGTAGGATGATCTGTCTTGCAATAGTGCTCTATTGTGTCTTTACAGTAAAAACTCTCAGGGCTCACTCACGGACTTATTGGGGATTGTGAACAGTTAGGAATATATTGATGCTCTGGAACCCTTGTGCTGAGTTCATGCATAGTTCAGGCTAGGAAAAATAGCAGGTGTGAGGAACATGTAGCCTGTGCAGCCCCTGCTATGCCCAAACTTCAGAGGAACCTCAAGCAATCTAAAGGAGAAATCACAAACCAAATAGCATCTTGAGTCACTACAGAGCTTGTTTAGAAGTTAATTTTGACCTCATTGGTGTTCCATAGCTGCTAGTGTTCTGGAGCAGCACCAGGCACCCAACCTTTGTAATGCCTTAATTTTTTATATATTCCACCTGTATTGGGTAAGGGGCTGCCGCCCATGGAGAGTCCAGTGTGTGTGAAAATGGCCCCTGGACCTCTCCAAGTTGCTCACCCCAATGTGGGAATAGTTACACCTTTCCTCCCAAAATGGGGAAGGGGCACATGATACACCTCCAAATATTTAAGGTGATCCAAAAAGCTGGGATTTGGTATACATGAAGCTGAGGATATGCTGATTACTCAGTTTCTGAGGATGGATATTTTTTACATCAAACACTCAAAGGTTGGGTATGAATTTTACCACATTGCAGAACAAGCAAACAAGCCATGTCACGCAGAGAAGACGCTGATCTGCACTGATTCTGCTGTACTGTAAAGGCTGATTTAAGTGCTCAACAAAGCATTTTCCTGGCACTATTCTGACGAGGTCAGATTAGATTTTTGGACTAGCAAGAAGCAGTCTGTGGGCCTCTCTGGAACCAATTGGTCCACATAGTCCAATAAAGCAGACAAGATGGAAAATAAGTCTTAGAGAGGAAATAGAGGGTTAAATCCAATCGTGCATTAACAGAAGTCCTCTAGTGTGATGACACTTTCTCCCTCTATTTTCCTGCTGAAATATCTGCTCCAGAAAGATTCCTCGCCGTCCGAAGCTCATCTTGAAGACATGCTGGGTGCAGAGAGAAGAGGAGTTTGCCCTTCTGGTTCCTCTGGTGGAATTGCTTCTGCCAGTGCAATGGCACTATTGGGTACAATCCAGCAGTTTCTACATATTAGTAAGATCTCACATTTTAAGATTTAAAATGAGACCTTTTCTAAGGTCAAGAAATCTTACCTCAGCTCCTTATAAAGCTTCCAGCTGACAAGTTCACAAGGCAAATGAGCTCATATTCTGGAGAGCTGCTTTGCATCAAATCACAGGATGTTTGCACACGTTATAGAAATTAGATCATATTGAAGTTGCCCTTAAGATAGCTCAGTTCTCCCGTAAATTAGGGGTTCCATTCTCATTCTACTGTTCCTAATTTTTTATCAGATTAAACAGAAGAAAGGAGACCTATATACCTTTCTTCCTAAATGAGATAGATACTGAATATATGCATTGTTTTTTCTGAATAGGACAACCCACATCCTAACTCAGTTTTCATATTATCTGCATTTCCTGAGTCATAGGGAGAACCTTTTTCTGCAACTTAGACTGGTGCCAAAAAGAATTCCAGGTCTGAATCCTGGCATGAATCAAAATCTGTGAAATCATAAGCTGTTCATGATTAAGAATACACTGGGTGGGGAAGGGTGTCTATCATAAATGTGTGTACAGTTAATGTATACTGCAATTATTTGTTCTAGTTCTGTAATATAGAATGTTTTTTCTGATGGCCCAAATAGATTAGGAATGGTGTGTCTCCATTTATCCTGTTTTGTCCTCGGCACCATGCTCAGCCCCCATTGCCCTAGCAGACTCCACACCCAAGAAGCTTCCTTGGCATTTGAGGCCTCTTGGGTATCATCAGAAGGACTTGCAGCTTCCAGGCACAATGAGAAGAGCAAACGACATAGGAATGTCATAAAAATGGGATTTCTTGTTCTCCAAAACCTGAGAGAGATTTATGGGGACATATGGTTTAGCCCCAGTTCAGCTGGACAGATAGGTGTGAGTACATTGCATCTGCCAGAAGACTGGACACATGGGCTTTGGCTACATCATGGAAGGAGTGTTGTCATGCTGAGATAATTCCATATTCAGTTATCAAAAATACTGCCAGTTGAAGACTAGAACTTTGTAGAGTTCTCTCATTTGGCTCGAGCTCCACAAAGAATTGGAAGGTTCAGTTGATGCCTAACAGATTAGTAATTATTACAGTATTCTGAAAAAACACAAATCTTTAACTGGGTAGTTCTGTACAACTGAATAAATATATTCTTGTGTGTGCCGAACAGCTTACTTCTGAGTAAGCCTGCATAAGATTCCAATATCGATTTTGTACTTCTCTCTTTACCAGCATAAGTGATTACCTGAGTCTTTAACATTATGCCACCTCTTTGGTTACTACCCCTTCCTCCTTTCAGCATGCTAAAAGGAATAGTGGAATTCAAAAGACTGGAGTCTACTGGCCATCTTCTAAGCTTCAGAGTGAAACTGAGCGTAACAATTTTGTCTGAAGTTGCTGCCATATGCATGAATAAGGCAGAAAATCCTTCGTAACATTTAAACTCCTGCTCAGAATTTCACTAAACCAATGAAAGGCACACCTCAACAAACCCGTATGTAGTTTTCCCCAGAATTTGAAAGAAATGCATGATGTGCCAAGCTGCAATTTGAGTAAAAGGTACAAGAGTATCAATTTTTAGCACTTTTTAACTTGCTGTGTTTGCAGCTATTTGTGCTGATCAGATTGACATTTTGATTGTGGACTTCATCAAATGATGGAAGTCAAGTTTGTTTGTTTAAAGTTTTTCTATACTAAAAAGGTCTCTGGACGGCTTAGATAGAACAAAAACCAAAGAACAAAAACCATAGCAACAACAATGTATATCACATTGCATCAAGTTGCAAGTTACTCAGTCTTCTGGTGTCATTTTTATAAGTAGTAGATTCATGAGGCTTATGGTGGCAAAAGCTTTTTATGACTCACGCTTAATTAAAGAGCCACTCCTATGTTCCTTTAATAGCTACAGTTTGGAGGAATGAAAATCTGATTGTTCTGATGCATCAGTTCTTACTTTCAGATAAATGAGAGTGACAAGTTGGACCTTTGTAAACAGAACAAGTTGCAAGTGGCCCAGTCCTGCACACCAAAAGGCACACCAAAAACTAAGGCCTCTGGGTTCACCACTAGTTTCCTATGGGTGAATGAATCTTACCTATTTCGGTTTTGCTCTTTTTTCCTCTTTCCAAGCTTAAGTTCATTTTGTCTCATTTTGAATTCAGTTTGTGATTTTTTAGAATTCTATACAAAATTTGTATGTACAGTTCTATTAGTTGCAAGCTATTTTCTTTTATATCCCATTAGTCTCTTATTTTTGCAAGTAATTTTCTTTTATAAAATGTGTTTTGTACACAATTTTAATGAACATATGTGCTCTTAGGTCCATTTTTCCATCTATATGGATTTTTACATGCATTTTTATTGGAGAACTTCATTGCAAAATTCAGGAAAGCGTACTATCAAAGTACAACCATGTTCCAGTCTGCATAATGATTTGCCAACTGCAAAACAGCTTAGCTCAAGTAGTGTTTCCCCATGCAAGGGATTGCTTTTCATTGAGCTTACTCATGACTGATTCTGTGCTTTGTTGTGTCCTTATCTAATTATTAAGCTGGCCTGTTTTCATTTTCTTCGCATGTACTGTACAAGCTAAGGGTGCAATCCTATGCATATTTAGACAGAAGAAAGTGCTACAATGCCAACCATTCCCCAGCCATGCATAGATTGCACCCTAAAATAATTATTTCTATAATTGTAGCATTTGTTTCTTCAGCTTTCCTAAAAATATTTTTTCTAAAGATTGTTCATCGCCCCCAGATAGCTACTGTACAAATACATGTCAGTATAACTGCAAATATTAAACCAGAAACTGAAATTAGTATCACTGAAGTTTATATTAAGAACATCTTGAATACCAAAAGAGTAGGCATTAAGAAAAAAATTGTAGAAATACTACTGTAGTGAGCATATAAGAATGGCACATGTTAAAACAGTGGAAGTTGTAAGCATATGCTTAAACAATTATTTCTTGATATTTCCTTTTGCATCCCCCACCCACAAGATGGCTGGGATGAATTAACATTAATAACTATAAGCCAGCTTCCGTATTCCATCCTGTACGTAAGTATACTTTAATTCGCTGATAAATGCTTCAGGCTTAGATCAAAGTAACTGCACTTGTGCTCTAAACACATTCTAATTAGAGAAGAATTTTTCAAGTTTAATCTCCTCTCTTCAAATATATCAACGGGAATCTGCCAATTTGTTGCTGCTTTCTGGGAGCTACACTTAATGAGCAACACCCACTGTCACACAACAGATCTTCCCCTTACATCCTTCCAAATCCACTTTGGAGGATCCCCTGACTTTGGGGACTGTGGGGAATTCATTGACTAAATCCCCATCCGTCACCAGCTACACTCCTGAAGTATCATTCAAGAAATCAGTTGAGCTGAAGAAGGAAATAAGACTAGGGCAGGATATAGGATTTTGTGCAGATCACACTTACCTGTTTGTGAAATTACTAGGGGCACAATTTGGCAAAAGGGTTTCCTGTGTAAATCTCACTGAAATAGAAATTAAGCTGTGCCTGAGATCAGGGGTGCACACCTTTTCCGCCAAAAGGCCCCATGTGTTATGCTGGTTTAGGGACTACACCTGCATGTGTAGCCCTAGTGAAGCTGTTTCCAAGAGGACATGGGCAGGAGGAGCAAACTACTCCATCAGCCCCGCCAAGAGCAGCAGGGAATCCATGAAAAGAAGAAGGTTTGTGGCCTCCAACCGATTGCTTGAAAGTGTCCCTAATTTTACAAGCCCAGGCTACATTTCTAACAAGTGCACCCCTCTTCAGCATCAATGTGTGGAAGAAGGTGAGATATAAGTCTAATAAATAAATAGTATATGAATGCTGGATCTTTCTCATTTTTTTTTTCTTGAAGCAACTTGTGATTTCAGAGCCACACAGGGTAAAATATCTGAATGAACTTGTGACCTGTATTAGCCAGTTGGCAGGGTTACACAAGCACACAAGATTTGGATACAGACCAGTGGCAAGTGCAGTAGGAAAAATGACTGGAAGGCCTTTTTGGTCCCCCTGTGATCCTCTCAGCATCAGCACTGGCGAGTGGGATCAGAGCACCTGGAGGTACCCCCGTTCGTTGTATACCACCCAGAAAGCGTCTCCTATAGGCAGTACAGAAAGGAAGAAGGATGATGCTGGTGGTGGTGGACACCTGAGAATTAGCAGCAGCAGACACACTTTTGCTCTGTGAATTAATTAAGCATCAAGAAATAAGCACTCATCAGATTCATTGACACTGCCCAAGTCTCATTTTTGAACTCAAATGCCTGTGAGAATGCTTTGTACCAATTAAAAAACAATGAACTGGATGCTGGAACAATGGTAATTATCTAGGCAGCTGTGATCTCCTTGGATGTTTGGAACATGGACTTGGGCCATTGTGCTGAATAATAGAACCTCATCATAACATTTCCTGAGGCTCTGTGGGATAGGCAATGCTGCAAGTGATAAATTGCTTTTTAAATTCAGCATTGTCATGGAATTCCATAAGCTCATCCTTCAAGATGCTTTTGTTGTTTTCAGTATTCATTTTATGGAGAGAGGGGGGAAATGTTCATTTATCATTCATACTAAACAGAGGCATACTTTTAATAACGTGACTTCCAAAAAGCCCTCTCTGCACTCTGCATGCAGTCTGAGCAAGCTTACTCTAAACTGGACTTGCAGGTAATGCAGGAAGGGAGCCACGCCATGGGCTCATGTGCAAGTTTACCCAGAAGTAAGTCCCACTGAGTTCAAAGAAACATGCATAGGGTTAAACTTTTTAAGCCCAAAACTCTAGCTATCTAACAATTTTAGTTCCCACCCTTAGCAACTGGATTAATTTTTTAAAGGCCTATAGAGAAGGCAGTTAGGAAGCAATGAATATAATTGTTCGCTTGACGCTGTTGCCAACATGTGTATAAAATAATTCATTTGTTTGGTGCAACCCATAATTTCATACGGTTCATCTTTCCTTCTTTTCTTTGTGATATATGTGGTCTTCAAATACCTGTTTGAGGCTGGGTTCTTTGCTTCTCCAACCATGAATTTCTCTTTCAAACCTGATGCTTAAGTCATTGAATGTTGTACAGTGAATAACTTAAACAATGCATTGATTTGAAGCTAAATGTCCCTCTGTAAGAAAAACTACACCTGTGAGCTTATTAGAGACCTTAGAATATGCACTAAAATTATGTATTAAATAGTGATGCTGCCTTGAGGCACCATATGATAAGGTCCATGCAAATTAGAACAGAATACAGTGTTGACTGCATAAATCCATGTGTACTGGAGGAATTTTTCTGAAGGAATTCTAATCCATCATCCTGTAGCTTCATAATGGAGTTGCAAGGGAGTTTTCCTCAGCCTCGTATTCCAGGCAGCCTTCACAACTAGCTCTCCTTCACATGAGCTTTCCCTAGAAGCAAAAATGACAAAACTGAGGCTGTCATACTTCGGACACATCATGAGAAGGCAAGGCTCTCTGAAGAAGACAGTTGTGCTAGGAAAGTGGAAGGCAAAAGACAAAAGGAAAGTCCAAATGTGAGGTGGAGTGAATTCATAAAAGAAGCCACAGCCCTGAGTTTACAAGAGATGGGCAGGGCTGTCATGGACAAGGCATTTTGGAGGGCTTCCATTCACATGGTCACCATAAGTTGGAGACAGGTTGATGCCACCTAGCAACAGCAAAAACACTGAAGATGAGCACTAGCTTCAGACTGACTTCGCATCCCCAGTTCCTTGAAAGGTACCGGGGTACCTTGGCTCACAAAAAATCGGGTCACGAACAAAAATTTCTCAAAAATTTTGACTTGGGTCATGAACACCGTTTTTGGGTGGCGGCCAAGATCACAGCCATCTCCCCCCGACCCCCAAGTGGGGAGATGACCACAATCATGCTGGGGGTGGGGGGAGATGGCCAGGATCACAGCCATCTCTCCATCCCCCACCATGCCATTTGCACCCGTCTCTTCCTCCCCCAGTGTGCCCGTGATCACGCCTGTCTCTCTCCTCCACCCCCCAGCGCGCCGGGATGATGGGTGCATGCAGGGATGACGAGCGCGATCTTGGTCATGCTGTGGGGGTGGGGGGCAGATGGCCACGATCTTTGTTGTTGTCACTTTGCTTCACATTTTTCTGATTTAAAAAAATGGTTACAGAACAGATCAACCTTATTTACACTGAACCTTATGGGGAAATTTAACTTGACTCACAACCAATTTGGGTCACGACCAGAGTCCTGGAATGGAATAAGTTCGTGAGCCAAGGTACCACTGTACTCCCCAGTGCTTTGAATTCTGCCTGGAAATGGACCTGTTTAAGCAATATAGCTGGTAGTCCAGTGCAGAATACAGCTGCCACTTTCCTAACAAGATTCCAAGAATTCAATTTATATTGTTAATTTATATTATTCTATTGAAGTTTATTTATGGTTGTGAGCCGCCCCGAGGCTTCGGCAAATGGGGCGGCATAGAAGTCTCCTAAATAGATAGATAGATAGATAGATAGATAGATAGATAGATAGATAGATATTCTCATTTACAGGTTTGTGCCCTCAATACATTGATGTTATCAAGTATGGTGTCTCTATTTCCTTCCATCCAAGGCCAGCAGAATGATGTTCATTTGCTGCCTGAG